TTTGCTTATGTTAGTGTCCAAGCCTGATTCATCAGATTTATTCCATACATATTGTGTGTCTCTATCAATTTTCCATAAGAGTAATTAGATTCAGACAGGGTAGTTGAATCTATTAACAACATATGTAGAAAAAGTTTGGTTTCAAAAAAATAAAACTTGCAAAAAACCAAAAAACGATTCAAAAATGCCTTCAACTTTCAAGTACTTAAAGTACTCACATAATGTGTGCAGCAAACTCAACCATCTTGAAAGCAAAATGACAACAAAAATGGCCTTCGCATCGACCATATTTTCTATTCGTCTCTTTTTAGTCCTTTTCTCGTTTGCATCATACAAAGCCACCGCAAGAAGTTTTCTTGAGCGAAAATCCGAGAGCAAACCAATTTCAGCCGTTCTCATTTTCGGAGACTCCACAGTTGACCCTGGAAACAATAACTACATAAATACTCTTTTTAAGAGCAATTTTTCGCCTTATGGTAAGGATTTCGCGAACCAAACTGCAACCGGAAGGTTCACCAATGGTCGCCTAGCAAACGATTTCATTGGTAAGTGTTTGTACGTTTTATAGAGCTTATAAGTTGTCTGTATTCAAATAAGGTTCGTTTGGTAGGACAAAATTATTTAAAAAAAAACTATAGTTTATCTAATAAGCAGATTTTTATATTAGCTAGTTTATCAGCTAATTTTACAAAATCAGCCAAACACAAATTTGGAGAATCATGGGAAGAGATGTTTCATCCAAAAACCAATTGATGATGAGAGGGTAGCCCACTAGTCTTATAAACTAGGCTAATTTTCACTATAGAATCAATATGGGACAACTCACAAGTGATATTCCAACAATTCGTTACAATTATTTTTTGTATTTTTTTTTTCAATACAGCTAAATATATTGGCCTAAAAGAGTACGTGCCTCCCTACTTGGATCCGAATCTAAGCATTGAAGAGCTCATGACTGGAGTCAGTTTTGCATCAGCTGGGTCTGGATATGACCCGCTAACACCAATAATAAGCGTACGCGT